GATAGTATATAAATGTTATTAAAATAACACTGAAGTATGTACGCAGTGCAGTATGCAGAATGCCAGTATTCCATTACGAACACAAAAATAGAAATAGAAACAGATGGATAATGTCCCTCGCTGGTCTGGCCAGGTGGCATCTTGCCCAACCGGTGGGCACACTGGCATGTGCTACAATCCCATGTTACTAAACAAACACAAATACCACACCAAAGACCTACGTCTCTCTGCTCACCTTTAATAGAAAATCCTCCAACTCACGGTGACTTTTGGTGACGGCAGTAGATGAAGAGTCTGACCATTTCACCTGCAAAAGAGGAGAAACTCAATGAGACCAGTATCGCTCTCATCGGCCTGAGCATAATGGATCTTTTACTTGGATTCCCCAGAGCTCATCATATTTCACTCAGACATGAATAATCATGCTTGTCCTTTTGCCACAGATGCCTTAACATGGATTTTTTCACATGTCCATGTCCTTGGTCAAATATTCCAATAGTTTGGGTTCCAGAAATGACATTACAGCAAGAGAAGAACATTTGAGATCTTAGACTATTGTTAGGTAAATCAAATATTCCAATGGAATCTCCCACTGAAATCTAGGCATACCTAAAATATTTAAACCAGCCCAAATAAACACACTGACATCAGAATGGGGCGTACGTCCAGAATCAGTTTTCCGCCAAACTTGGTCATTGCACTATTTTTTTACACTTGAGCATTTCAGCCACTAGAGTTCACTTGGTTTAAATTAATTCACCACAACTTTAGCTCATGCAAATATTATGTAGAAAAAGAAAGTCTGAAAAGAATGCATGCATAACTATCATATTTTTTAACCATTTGTTTGACTTGAATTCAGCAAGGATACATTAAATTGATCAAAAGTGACAGACTGTTATAATATTACAAAAATACATTTATATAAGACCTTTAGAATGTTTACAAAAGATTTTAATTATTCATATTAAAATTTGCTCATCAAAGAAACAACAATATCTACAAAGATATTAAAAGCCACACAACTGTTTTCAACATTGATAAGAAATGTTTGTTGAACAGCAAATCATCATATTAGAATGATTACTGAAAGATCATGTGACACTGAAGACTGAAGTAATGAAAAAAAACGGCTTTGCATCACAAGAATAAATGACTTATTAAAATATATTAAAAAAGAAAAGTTATTTTAAATTGTAATAGGCCTAATACTTAATATTACTGCTTTTACGGTCTTTTTAAATCACAAATGCCGCCAATTCAAGCTGAAATGCATTTGATAATCATGCTGCTGCACATAGTTTGTGCACTTTCGCTTTCAAATTCACAATCTTGGTGTCATGTTTTACAAGAAAAGTCTGTTGCGCTAACATCTTGATTTTACAATTTGGTTGTACAAATGAAGTAGCCTCAACATCTGTGTTGGAGCATTTATCTATATTTAAAAAAAAAAAAACACTACGATAATGTCTTGAGCCATTTTCTTGTTTGTGGATAAGTGCAAAACTGTTTTCACTGTAGTCTGTTTCTGGTAGAATTACACAATACAGGTCCAAATTATTTACATCCATTGTGAAAGTTCTGGCAGATATCCACTCCCAAAGACTCAATAAGATGATGCCTGTAATTGTGGCAATTCATCGATCTCAGACAACAAAAAAAAAGTGTTGAAGTGTTTATCTGTAACTCCAAACCGGCTCTTTCAACACCCGAGTAAATATTTTAGCCTTAACAAGGGCTGGCATGCTATTTCGTCTGCTTCTCCAGTGAATACTGATGTCTTAATCGTAGGGTTTGGCGAGACACAGGTGGTCAGGGTTCAGTGGTAAGCCTGGGAAAGGGTGGAGAATCCATCTTCCAGTGACGCATGGGGATATCTGATTGGGATGCAACTCGCATAAGGACGGAATACAAGACTTCAAGACGGACAGAGAAAAGGGAGTGGCTCAAATTTGGCTGAGAACACCAAATGCTTTCCTTTCATTCCATTCTTTCAACCTTGTTTTGATGAGGATGGATTGGACTCGGCAGAATGGTACACAAATCTCAGCGTCTAATGATTTTATGTTCACACTGAGAACATCTCATGTTTAATAATGTGTAACAGCATTCATTTATGCTGTTTATGATGATAACAAACAAATGTGACAGTGATCTCAAACACTTAAATCTCTGTCAGAAGTGCTTTCTATCCTAATATATCCTGGGGAGAGCAGAGCGAAAGACTCCTCATGTCCTCACGGGTGTCCTCAATACGTCTCCTTCCCACTTAAGCCTCCAAACAACCTTCAGGTTACGAGAACTGAATAACAGCACAACAGACAGGCTGTTATGGAAATTTGGTTTATTTGCTATAAATATCAAAAAGTTTTGACACTGAACTTTTAGCCTGTATAAAAATAATTGTATAGTTTTGAACCAACAGTCAAGTAAAGTTTTATTTACTTGTCAAAGCCAATTTTCACTCGCACCCGGTCCGTAACTTTAAGGCAGACAGTTCAGCATGACCTTTTATAAGACCTGATTAATAGTGAAATTGTCAAAGCCATTTTAAAACAGGAACTAGTTTTAACTATACAAGCATCCTAAAAATACAACGCTCAAAAAAAACAAAATGAGTCATGACTCAACAGCTAAAGATGCCAGTCTCAGTGA